GAACCACATTAAGTAGCTTATAACCAGCACCAGGGAATTCAACGTTCTCTCCTGGCCTCCACAGGCATGTGCGTGCGCGCACACACACACACACACCCACACACACCCACACCACATGGGCGTGGAAGACCATGAGAAAGCTTGAAACAATTAAAACAAAACAGTTTGGGTCAGCAATATGTCTTAGAGTTTACAAGTGCTTGCCACATAAGATCCCCAACCTGGGTTCAATCCCCAGAACTCACATGAAGGTGGATGAAAATGACTAATTCCACAAAGTTGTCTGACTTCTACACACTTGCTATCGCTTGCATACAAATAAATAAGGATTTAGTTGTACAGCCAGTTTAATATGTGGCTTACATTAAATCTTAATTTTATGTCAAGATGAAGGTGAATAAAGCAAGGTTGTGTACACAGGCATACAATGGGCAAGAGTGATCATGTGTCCAAGTGTTTCTCCATTTGTATGGTTGTTGACCCCTGAGTCCCTCTTTGTGCCTTAAATCTGCTTTTAAGGCGATGAAAGGCGGCCGGACATGGCGGTGCATACTTTTAACTCCACACGTGCAAAGCTGATGTGGGAGGATCTCTGTGAGTTCCTGGCCAACATAGCAAGTTCCGGGCTAGTCAGGGCTACATAGTGAGATCCTGACCACCAGGTGGGCAAGGAGGAGGAGCAGGAGGAGGAGGAGAAGGAGGAAGAGGAGGAGGAGGAGGAGGAGGAGGAGGAGGAGGAGGAGGAGGAGGAGGGAGGTAACATCACAGGCAATGACTGAGTTATGATGCCTGCTGCCATCCATACAACTTTCCATTTGTCAACACAACCTGGAATCACCTAGGAAGAGTCTAGAGTGGAGTATTGTCTACAGGTTGGTCTGTGGGGGTGCTTATGGGGAATTTTTCTTTACTGGGTTGAGGTAGGAAGAGCCATCCCACTGTGGTTAGCATCATTCCCTGGGTTTGAGCTCTGGACTGTGTAAGAGAAGGTGGTTGAGCACAAGCATGCATTCATTCTCTCTGCTCTTGAGCGTGGATATGAGGTGACTAGCTACTTTAAGCACCTGCTGCTGTGACTTCTCACAGTGAAGGACTCTCCCATGAAATGTGAGCTAAAATAGACCTTGCTTTTTGTCAGGATATTTTATCTCAGCAACAGAGAGAAAGGAGGACACTGTTATTTCTTCCAGTTAGCTACTGAAATAATATTGTAATAAACATCTATAAACAAGTATTTCTTCTAGACCTTTCTTTTTTTATACATACCCACTAGTGAGATTACTGGAGCCTATGGCAATCCTGTTTTCAAATACAGAAATTTAGTTCTAACTTCAGTTAGTAGTAGACTGGGAAAGGCATCAGTTACGAGCACAGACTATCTCTGCCACAGTGGGAATATTTATTTGAACTAGTAAGAAAGGAATGACAATAGGATATTTAAAAGCCCCTAGAAGACTCTTCCCAGGACCATCTCAATCCATGCACTTGGAACACTGTATTTGCAAATGTTGAAGCCGGCATGGTGGAGGATCCCAGCACTCTGGGAGACAGATGCAGGAGAATCTCTCTGGGTTTGAGGCCAGCCTGGTCTACAGAGTTCTAGGACAGCCAGGGCTACACAGAGAAACCCTGTCTCGAGAAACCAAAAACAAAGAAATATTGAAAGCATCTAGGCTAGATTTCTCTTAAACAACTAAACAACTATATGTGTACCTGTGTGCACACACACACATCTTTCTATAGGTATCATACAGTGAGCATCATGAACAATTAGAAAGATTTACCCTAAACCCCACGCGGCAGAAGTGTTGTTTGTCAATGCTGGTAGCTTGCTTTTCTGATTGGGTGGGAATGTGTCCAGGAAACTCACAACTCAGAGGCCTGGGAAGGGATTCCAGCTCTGAGTGGGACAGTGTCCCAGGGTGTCCTGAGACACGGGAGCCCAGGAACCTCACAGCTCTAAGGAGGCCTCCTCAACAGAGATGCTGCAGCTCCCAGGGAGGGTTGCTCCAACCCTGATGAGGGGAGGAGCCTGAGTTCTGCTCCTTCAAGTGGGTCACAACAGGCAATAAATCTCAAAAGAGATTTACTGGAAGGGCAAATCCAGGAAAGAAGGGAACAAATCCAGGAGAGGCTGCCTCTGCTCCAGGATGAAGGCAGCAGGGAACTGGAGCAGAAGCAGCCTTTATATAGGAATTCTAAGGTGTCAGTGTTTTCTAGGGCAGGGATTTCCAGAATGAGGATTGGTGTGATTTCAAGTCCTGAGCTTGGGGAGCTCAGGGATTGGTGGGCTTTCCTCTTCAGGGATTGGTCAGTTTTCCTGCTCAGGGATTGGTGGGTTTTTGTGGGAAGCTCAGGGATTGGCTAGTTCTTCTGCTTAGGGATTGGTGTGTTTTTGTCCAGACTTTTCACCTCAAATTAGCATAATCGGGAGGAGTCCTGCTGAGGGGCTGGGGATGACAGTTGCAGAGGTCTGGGGGAGGAAAGGTGTCGGTTCCCTTAGCAGCAGGCCGAGGCAGGAAGGGTCACCATGGACAGCTCCCGCCGAGGCGCTGACAGGAACTGCCAGGGCCGGGAGGAGAGGCTGGCGGCGTCACTTTGAGCTTTCGTGGCCTGCTGCTCGAGGCTAGGCATGGCCCTTGGGGGGCAGGGGTGTCTGGTGTCGGGGGAGTCAGCGGGCCACCCCAGCAGAGGGCCGGTGAGCTGCAGGGCTGGAGCTGGGGACGGCGGGTTCGCTGCTGCCTCGTGGCGGAGGGGGTCGGCAGTGGCCACGGCGGCTTGGGGGCCACCGCTAAGGCAGCTGGGTTGAGGCTCCCCTGCAGCATGACCCGCAGCCAAGGCTGTCTCTCCAGCTCTCTCCGGTGCGAGCCTCACAAAGCAACCCCTCGAACGTTGTCCTCTGACCCCCCCACTCACAGGCCACGAGCAGGTCTCCCCCCAGTAAATAACGGATGTAACAAACAAAGAAGGCCCAGCGCGGCTGTCTCTCTTGCCCCGGGCTGGATTTCTACGGGTGGAAGTAATGCCTCAAATGTATAGAATGCTGTCCTAACGTCCGAGCTGAAATTATTTTAAGATTGCAAGAAGCTTTCCATGTTTGACTGTCTCCCTTTAGATGGCCCAGTGCATGACTGCCAAAGCCAGGGAATTAACGTTTCTAAGTACTGCAAGCGAATCTACCTAGCTTGCCCCACCATCCATCCCTTGTGTAAGCCTCTTCCTAAGGGTATACCCACGTGCTTTGCTGGACGTCGCTCAGTCTGAGTCTGCCTGCTTCCTCATGTCTTGGAATCCACCGTAGGCCACCACAGTGGGGAAGACAGATCGTGATACCAATGTCTCGAGTGGTACTCGGGCTTGACTGAGGAGGCATCTGCTCTTCTTGTCCTCCTCCCCATTTGTAACTGGAGCATCTTTCGAGGAAATGACTTTTGCTCTACTTCCGTCCTCGCCCACACGTTTATAGGTGGTGTCTGGATAAGTGGACTTTGGCGCCATCTTTACTTCCGCAGTGACTATGGGATTCTGTTGGGAGGAGGCTCTATCCTCCACCCCCATCCCAGCAGAGTTTCACTTCCCTAGGGGTACTCCCTCTTGTGCCCATTACCCGTGGCCTCCACATGGCAGGTGTGGCCAGTGAAGAAGGGGTCAGCAATGGCTGCTCTTGGCAGCTTATTGCCAGCAGATGGCATCTGTCCACGCCTCTACTATCATTTCTCACCTCCGTTTCCTTACAGAACACCGCAGGTTTTTCTCTCGACATCCATACATTTGTGAAAAATGTAACAAAATGAAACAAGGGTGGTGTCTGGGCGTGACTTGTGGAGCTGGTTTTCTCCTATCACTAAGTAACTTGAGACATTTTTAGTGCATTTTTATTTTAATTGTGTGTGTGTGTGTCAGAGGACAACCTTGAAAGTCATTCATTCCTCAAGAGGTGTCTACCTTGTTTTTGGAGACAGGGTTTCTCAGTGAATATATAATTTGGCAATTCAGCTAGGCTGGCTGGCCGTAGGGAATCTGTCCGTGTCCCGGTAATCCCAGTACTGGGATTACAAGTGCCTGGCTTTTGTTTTTAACGTGGGTTCTGAGATCAAACTTAGGTTCTCAAACAGGCAGAACAAATGCTTTGCCAACAGAACTATTCCTCTAGCCCCTGAATTTAGATAAACATAAATCTTATAAGTTTATACAGTTCCATCTACTGATGCAGTCTTCATTCAGGCTTTTTGCCTTTTTTAGACATGATATTCAACTTGTTCTCTTAGATTACTTAATGCATTCAATTTCTTCTCCTTTTTTCTTTTCTTGCATTCTTACAAATTTATTTTATTCTTTTGGAATATATTCTACCAGACTTTCTAACATCAAAATGCTTCCTTATTTTGATATATTTGCCCCAAGTTCAGGATCGTATAAAGATGAATTTTAAATCAGTAGAGAAATGCATACAGAGTCTAACAAATTTACCCACTCGGAGGATAAGTAGATATTTATAAAAATAGATTCCACGTGGATATATGTATATTAGGAAAGTATATTTTTAAGGTTTGTTTTATTTTTAGTTATGAGTATATATGTGTCTGTACTTATGTATACAGTGCTTGCAGAGGCCAAAAAAAGTCAGCAGATCCCCCGGGGTGGAATTTACAGGCATTTTCGAGCCTCCCTGAAGTCAGTGCTGGGTAAACTCAGGTCCTCTACAGGAGGTGAAAGTGCTCAGAACTGCTCCAGCCCCATTAGGTATTAAGGATTATTTATCAAGAAAACATGAGCTCTGCGGCTCAGGCCCTCTTAACAAATGCTCGGCAAATTATCTGTGCTCCCATGGTTTGACAGCCTCGGGCAAAGGGGAGACAGATAAAGTTAGGAAGCTTTTCATCACACTGCTAGGACATCCGCCTTAGAGCACAGACGTGCATACGATGGCAAAAAACATTTCACTCTTCACCACTCTTACAAGGCTTTGGTTATCTATACCCAAAACATACTAAGGCAAATCTTTTATTTGAATACATTTAAATAAATAAGAATATAAAACACAGGTCTGCAAGCATGTGGGGTCACTAACATAAATACTAATTTACAGGACGTGTAGGCCTAAGAGAATACAACAGAAAAGAGGACTGTGATGAGGCCCAGGAGAGAGTCCAAAACCAAGTCACCAGCGATGGGCGTCAAAAGCGCCACAAACAAACCCGGCACGTGCTCCGGGTGACCCGAGACCTGGGAGAGGCAGGTCTCGGGCCTCACGGGATGTGGTACTCCCGGAAGCACTTGGCGTGGACGCCCTTCTGGCACTTCTCGCAGCGGGTGTTGGTCTGCGAGTGGCAGAGGGCGCACCGGGTCCTCTTGTCCTGATGGACGATCCAGTGCCCGATCCTGTCGAAGCGGCTCTCGGTGTCCGGCCGCCGGCTCCGCCTCCCCGGGGAGGAGGCGGCCGCGTTGCTCTCCAGGTAGACGCGGGCCACGTACCTGCGGAAGGCGAGCAGGTCGGCCCGCGCGCCCCGGCGGCACAGCCTGTGCAGCTGCCACGCGTTGTGGAGGGCCGCGTCGAGGACGTAGCCGAGGAAGCCCAGGTACCACCTGGTGCCCCGGATCTTCACCTTGTACTTGGCGACGTTCTGGTCCATTCGGTCAAGCCCTCTGGCCTTTTCCCGGTAGAGCTTCAGCAGGGCCGGCGGGTGGCGCTGCGCCCGGGCTTTGGCCGCCCCCGGGCGGTGGCTGCTCTCCTCCACCTTGGAGTGGGACGAGCCCCCTTTCCTTCTCCTCGGCTCTCTGGGAACCTTGAGGGGACAGCGCCCGGTTCTGACCTCGCGAACGGTTCCCGTGGCCTTCACCCCCTTCCCCCTCAAAGCGGACATCAGCCGGACGCTCGCGAAGACCTTGTCAAAGAGGATGTGGTAGGGCAGGCGGCCACGCTCCCGGAGCGCGTCCACAAACCTGACCACCATGCTGCCCCCGACGTCCAGGCCTCCCTGGGAAGGTTCGAACCACACCAGGTAGCCCCTGCTGGTCGTCCCACACCAGATCTTGTAGCCCAGCCGGACAGGCCTCGCTGAGCGCCGCCGCCTGGAGCCCCGGGGCCCAAAGTACTCGCAGACGGATTGGCCGAAGCTGTAGAACTCTTCCAGCGGGGCGTGCTTCCGGAAGTTACGGTTCGCGCGGACGAGGAGGGGCCTGACCTTGGCAAACCTGTCGCCCTCGTCCAGATCACTGTTATCCGCAAAGTGCAGGTATGAGAAGATCAGCTCGAACCTGTCCCTCCTGATGGCGTCCGCCACAAGGTGATGATGACAGTCGGGGGCCGTCTCCCAAAACATCCGTCTCCGTGGGTAGGAGACGTACCCACTTAAAATCAAGACGCCCAGGACACACTTCAGTTCCTGGGCCGTGAGGTCCAGGGTGACGTTTTTCTGCCGAGCATAACGGTTGGTCTCATCCACAATGAAACCGATTGTCCCGCCGTCAAAAAACAGTTCAAAGAGGCCCACAGGACTCAGCTCCTGGGTTTTCAGGTCCTCCATATGAGGGTCTGAGGCAGTCCAGCTGCCCAAGTCTGGCTGGATATCTCTCTTGGTCCAAACACGGTGAGTCTCCACTGCTGCCTTCTGCTTTTTCTTGGGCAGCTGGAGCTCCAGCTTGTCCTCCTCCCTCTTCTCCCCCTCGTCCTCCCCCTCCTTTCCCTCCTCCTCCTCGGGGTCTGAGTCCTCAGAAACGACCGAAGCATGCAGCACCCGGCCAGGCAGCTGGGCACCATTCTGGTCACTGTCTTCTTCCCCAGAGTCCTCATCAGTGAAGTCCCCAGAGGCGTTGTCTGGGGGTGCGATGAAAATCTTCTCCCTGTTGCTTCCAAACTCATCGTCCTCCAGAGCGCTCAGGACCTCCAGCAGCTTAGGCGACCTCACCTTTGGGTGTGCCCCCCTCCCGGCAGGGACCGCTCTGCAATGACAGAACGGTCAGACAGAGGCCACTCCAGAGCGACTCAGCTCGGAGAGTTGGGCCCATCAAGTGTGGCATCACATCAGCGAGCCTTCCACACAAACAGAGCGGGCAGGAATAGGGGTGGCCCTGGGGGAGACCACTTGGGCCCCTTCCTCCCGAAGGATGAGGGGAGTTAAGCCGTGCTCGCACATCAGGCACACCCAGAGGGGTGTGCCATCACCCTCCCCTGACTGCCACGCTCTCCTCCCTCCGCTCCCTTCCTCCTTTATTCTTTCTGAACAAACTGCTCAGTGAGGCCGATGGGGCGAAGGGACTAAAAAGTCATCGACTGAGTAAGGCTTTCAAGCGTGGAATAAATGTTCCCATGAAACATCTCGTGAGTCTCTTACCGTGAGTCTGAAGCCATGACAACCTGGGAAGAGGAGGTTGTTCTCCTTCAGGGTCTGCAAGAGCCTGTAAGACAACGGAAGTCAGTACTTTAATAAAGCAGCAGGCTCTTTGCCCTTTAAAGGACATTCCTTGCTTACGGCTGGCTCACCAACTGGCTCACCAACGAGGAGGAAAGGAATGGGACGCACACAGAGGAGACAGTGTCAGCTGACTCTCCCAACTGGACTCTGCTCAGAGCCCAAACCAACGTTACATTCTAGGTCAGTGTGGCTCATCGGTGCAGCTGTGGACATTTGGTGCTAGATAAGTCTTGGCTGGTTGGGGGTTTTGTGGGGACAGAGTCAGCCCCGAGTGAGTGAGCGTCAGCCCTGGTTTCTGCCCACTAGGTGACTGCAGAATACCTCACTCTCCTTAACTGCTCATATAAAAAAGTTACAGGGGAGGAAAGAATGGCTCACCAGCTAAAGGCTTACACAGGGCTGGCAACTTGAGTGTGGTCCCTGGAATGCGCATGAAGGGAGAGGGAGAGAGGGTTGTTTGGACTGCCACACACTTGGGGTGGCACTCAGGTACCACCCCCACTCCCAGCACGATAGCAACGGAACAGAAGTCTCCAGACACGCGGCTGTTCCCTGGGTGGGGGCACAAAATCGCCTCTGATTTTCAGTGAAGATGGAACTTTTCTGCCTCAGAACTACCCACATTGGCAGCCACAGGCCACAAGTGGCTACTGGGCGCTTGGAATATGGCTGGAGAAGCTGAAATTTTAATTTAAATAGCCACATAGGATTAACGGACTAGACAAGGAAATTCTGAATAGATCAAGAACTAACTGTGGGGCCTTGGTGGGGGAAGGGCACTTGTTGCTCCTCCACAGAACCTGCGCTTGATTCCCAGACCCATGTCTGGCAGCTCCGACTGCCTGTGACTCCAGCTCCAGGGGATCTGATGGCCCTTTCTGGCTTCTGTAGCACATGCACATACATAACACACACACACACACACACACACACACACACACACACACACACACA